GCTGAGGTGGTTTCAGTCAAAAAGAGGACAGGAACTGTATGGTTCCCAGCTACCATTCCTGAACATTTTGAGCAAAGATTTTATGTACCGATCAAAAGGGGGAAAACATGGAACAGAATTTCAAATTTTCAATAGAATCTAGACTTTCTGGAGCCATTGAGGCTGGATGAACCTCCAAAACTATTGCCCTGAGATCATCTTTAAACTTTAAACCCAGACTATCCCCTGAAGTCTTCTTTGAACCAAAAAGTAGCTTATTTTAATTAGTAAAGTACATCTGCTTTGAGCCTTGTGCTCTTCTAAAGAATTATCTAATTGATGACGAAGACTCAGAAGGTCGGATGGGAAGCTTAGGGGGCAGTGCATTTAAGACAATGGTGGTGGAATAACTTTGAAAAGGACAGCGAGAGTGTTTGCACTACTTGAAGGGTACCTTCGGTGTCACTGAATTATACATGTAGAAATTGCTGAAATGTGTATCATTGGCTGTGCTGCCTTTCACCAAAAATAAAAAACAAATAAAGAGGACAGGAAAATGCAACCAGTGTTTCCCAGCTCTTTCTCAGGGTGATGGGGAAGCCAGAAGCCGGGCTCAGCTCTGATGTTCAGATAAAGCCAGGATGTCACAGCCAGGAACTCCTTCACCTGAGCGCCCATGGCTGTGCCCAAAGCACAGCTGAGCCTGTCTCCTGGGAAAAGTCACCTTCGTCCACTTTCCTAAATTAAAATAACCAAAAAAAAAAAAAAAAAAACCAAAGAGCTATCTTCTTTTGATGCTGCCAGTTTGCTGATGAAAAGGAGGAACCGCAGATCCTAGTCTTTCTAGGTAAATAAATCACCTTGTTGGTGGAAAAAATGAATTCTCATTATGAAATAAGTAAACACAGGTGTTCGGCAATTGATGTAGAGCGGTTGATGGTTTGTTTTCTTTTCCCGTTACTATAACCTCTTTCTGCTCACATGTAAGCCACCTATGCTGAGCCCGTGGAGGAGGAAGTGTCACCTGGCGTTGGTTGGTATTCCATTTCCTTATCAATAACTGCCTGCGCACACCAGTTTATCTTAGCGTCAGGCACCTGTAAAGCAATAAAAGGCTGTTTCCGAGTGTCACCCCGATCGAGTTCTAAGGCAGATTTCTAGCTCGGTGAGAGGAGCCGTTGCTCAAGATCAACACTGCGATCTCTTGAAGGTGCAAACATTCACATCAAAGTAGCTGGGCTCTTCAAGGAAGCCAGTATTGGCCGTAAAAACAAACACAGCAGGTTAACAGGCTTTGCTGTTCTGCCTTTTGGGGGCCCATTCCTCAGTGTCTCTTTCAGACCTTCTCACCAGACTGCTCTGTTGGAAAAGAGATGGGGGACAGGGCACCAATCCAGGGTTTGGGTTTGGGGAGAGAAAGCCCAGGAACTGCTTCACTATACAGATAAAGGGAGTCCCTGGGTGGTGCAAATGGTTAACACGCTCAGCTGTGCACTGAAGGGTTGGGGGTTCGAGTCTACCCATAGGTGCCTCAGAAGAAAGGCCTGGTGATCTACTTCTGAAAGAACAGCCACTGAAAACCCTATAGAGCCCAGTTCTACTCTGACACACATGGGGGTGCCACGAGCTGGAGGAGACTTGACAGCAACTGGTCAACTGGTTATAGAGACAAAGGCTCCCAGGTACAGCTCAGCGCCCAAAGGACCGATCTGGAGCGGGGTGGGGACCTTCCTCATTGTCCATCCACTGAACGTGCCCCTGAGCCCGGCACAGGACCGCCCACCTGCCTGTAGTCCATGCTACAGCTGCCAATGGCAGGGGACCACGAGGGTATGCAGGGGGTGTGTCTGCTGACCTTCGGCTCGGACGGGCTGACACTCCAGCCACGTTGTCTTTACCAGCTCTTGCCATGCTTCTCTGAGCAACGTCTCCCAGATGAACCCAGAGGAGCTTTCCTGCACTCTGCCCAGCACACACCTTAAGTGGTGAGATTAGGACAGTCCTCTGCGGGGACACAGCTGCAGTCTCGCCATCCCCCTTAACCCTTACATTTGACAATATTGAATACGAGATGTGAAAGTCATCACTGCCTCCCAAGGCCATCCTGTCGTTTCTTTGCTGCCATTGAGTCGGCTCTGCTCATGGCGACCCCAGGTATGCCCAACAAAACCTTCACCAGTCCTGTGCTATCTTCATGATTGTTGGTATGTCTGAGTCCGTTGCTGTGGTCACTGTATATTTTGAGTGTCTTCCAATACAGGGGGCTCATCTTCCAGATCTCTATATGACAGTATTCTGTTGTGATGTATAGGGTTCTCTCTGGTTGATTTTGGGAAGTAGATCTCCAGATGTTTCTTCCCAGGCTGTCTTAGTCTGGAAGCTCCCCTGAAACCTGTCCACCATGGGTGACCCTGACGGTATTTGAAATACTGGTGGCCTAGCTTCCAGCATCACAGCAACATGAAGCCACCACAGCAGGACACACAGACAGATGAGTAGAGTATCCTGTCAATACTACTTTTCTTCTCAGAATTAGTAATGGAAAAATGAGACCTTCGACATGACACGTAGGTTCAGAGAACAAAAGCTCTCAGCCCGTGAACTAACCTCAAGGCTCATCATTACATGACTGAGGCAAGTTCTAACATCCTGAGGCCTCAGTTTCCTCAGCTGAAGCGAAAAGAGAGACCGTATGAAAAAATCTTGAAGAAAACCACATAAAAGCTTCCTGAATGTGGCCCCGGGTCTCGAGACCACAGCGCCATCTGGTGGTGGCCCCCTGCGATGTGCCGTGAGCGCCCTGCTGTTTCTGATTTTACCTTTGGAGCTACAAAGGTGAGGTGACGTGTCGTGTCTGTGTTTTTATTTCTCGATTTGGGTCACCGCACACCATACCGAGTTCCATTCAGTCATCCTGAGAGAGCAGAACCCATCCGACATGTGAGGGGTTGACAGCCAGCTGCCCTTCCTCTCTGTCTGGCTGTCATCAGAAGTCACGCTGGATGTCGGCATGGGGTGAAGCCAGCAGGCTCTTCCCGGCCGAGCCCACAGCTTCAGCCCTGTCAGCTGCTGTCAAGTCGATTCCGAATCCTGGCCACCCCAGGAGTGTCAGAGAACTGCGCTCCATAGGGTTTTCAGTGGCTGATTTTTCAGAAGCAGATGACTAGGCCTTTCTTCCGAGGTGCATCTGAGTGGACTGGAACAGCCCACCCCTTTGGGAGAGCATGTTAACCATTTGCACCACCGAGGGGCCCCACATATTACTTTAGAGAGTAAGAAGTGCTGAGAAAGAGAAACAAAGCCGGCAAAACGGAAACTCTAAACCCACTGCCGTCAGGTCGAGTCCGACTCACAGCGACCCTATAAGCCAGAGTAGAACTGCCCCGTGGGCCTTCCAAGGAGCGGTTGGTGGATTCGAACGGCTGACCTTTCGGTCAGCAGTCACAGCGCTTAACCACTGTGCCACCAGCATTTCCAAAGTGGGCAAAGGTGATTTAAACCAGGGCAGGTGTGGAAGCAGTGTAGAAACATCAGGTCAGTGGGTGAAAGCCTTTCCAGCAAAGATGGAAAGAGAGAAGGGAGGGAGCCAGGGGAGTATCTGGGGGAGGCCATTCCAGGCTGAAGGAATGGCTGTGCAAAGGCCCTGGGGCAGGAGAATGCCTGGGATGCCGGAAGGACATCAAGGAGTCCCCGGGGGTTGGCAGAGAGAAGCAGCCGATGGCTAAGGGAGAAAGTGTGGAGAGGGCATCTGGAAACGAGGAGCTGCAGCCCTGACAAGGGACTGGTAGAAGCCATGTAACCTCCTGGTGAGGGAGGGGAGCCCCAGCTTTCTAACCGCAGCTTTGTCTCTTCCTAACATAATAAAGGTTTGAGCAGGCTCATTTTTAGACGTCGACAATGTTACAAAATCCTCGCTAGGCCCTCCTTAAACATCAGAAAACCTCTATTAGAAAATCTACCTAGAGGGAACCCGGTCTGTGGCACTGCAATCAAGGCCCCGGGTTCCCACAGCCGGTCCTCGGTCCCGCCATGGAGTTGGCTCTGCTCGTGGTGACCCGGGCACACAGAACGACGTGTTGCCTGGTCCTTCACCATCCTCACCACACTTACCGTGCTGGAGTCCATTGTTCCAGCCACTGTGTGTTTTGAGTGTCTCCCACCCTTGGGAGCTCATCTTCCAGCGCTCTGATTTCTGAAGTAGATCGCCAGGCCTGTCTTCCTGTCTGTCTGAGCTGGCGGATCCAGTAATCACAACAAACAGATACCTCAGCAGTTTCATTGTCGGGAACGTCTGGGTACTTGTCAGGTATTTCCCGCCCTATGAGTTTGTATTGTTTTAGGATTGATTTTATAACACTACAGCTCGACCTAATCCTATCATCCTTAGGGCATCCTTAGAAACAAGGATGGTGAGACTTCAACTTGCTTAGTTTGGATACGTCATCAGGAAAGACCAGCTCATTAGAAAAGGACACCGTGTTCGGTGCGGCGGAGAGTCAGCGGGGTTGAGGAAAAGCCCCCAGAGACGGATGGACAGGAGAGCCTCAACAGGACCGGACAGCGTTTTGTTCTGCCGTATTGGGGTTGCCGTGAACCGGAGCCGACCGAGAGCACCTAACACAACAACCACCACCACAGTGTGGAAGTAGTAAGGGGAAAGTGTCCTGGGAGAAAGGGGAGGGCCCTCTCCCGCAGGGCCTGCCCAGGATTCCGTCCCCAGGATTCCGTCCCCAGGATGCACACAGCTGGCCACGTTGCCCCTCGCCGTTCTCGCGCTGTTTCCACGAGCTTCTTCTGCCTCCGCAGACGGGGCTGGACGTGGCTCCACGAGCCGCTTCTGCATCTTCTGTGAATAACCGGAAGGGGGTCTGGCAGCCTTGTACTTTCTGACCCAAAGTGTTCATTACAAGCCAGCTTTCCAAAATAGCAAGTCATTGTGTGTGTGTGTGTGTTTCTAAATCATTAAGTCCTGTCCTCCGCGTAACACACGCCCACAAATCGGCCAGAGACAAAGGGCGAGAATGCCGGAACGCCTCCAGAACTCGCCAGCACCGAGGCCCCGCCGCATTGCTGGGGGTCTGGGAAAAGCCCTCCCACACCCTGCCGTCCTGTTCACCTCACCTTCTGGCGTGCCTGGTGCGATGCTGGCATTTCGTCTGGATCACCTTTCCGACAAAGACCGCGTGTTCTCTGGGGGAGGTAGCATCTGGCTTTACTTTGCCCTAGAATGGAGACTGAGTTAAAGCCGGGGACCCAAAGGGTCTGAAGGGGCCCTTGACTCATGGCGACCCCATGCACAGTGGAACAAAATGCTGCCCTGTCCTGTGCCACGATCCAATGAGGATCAGACCATTGTGATCCACAGGGTTTTCATTGGCTGGATTTTCAGAAGATCTCCAGGCCTTTCTTCCTAGTGTGTCTTAGTCTGGAAGCAATGCTGAAACCTGTTTGGCATCGTGGAATACACAAGCCTCCACAGACAGACAGGTGGTCGCTGCACATGAGGTGCGTTGGCTGGGACTCGAACCTGGCTTAGAGTGGAGAGGTTCGGAAGCCTTTATGCACATCCCAACAGCTCCAGGACAGGTCTTCTGTCTCCCTCACCTGGACAAATTAGAGGTGAGTCCTCCCAGTCTTCTCAGTCTTCCTTCCAAAGAGTGAGCTCAGTTCGCCCCCTGGTGTCATGCACTAGTACTACAGAAGTAAGGCTTTGTTACTTTAATGCTTTAAGGAATATGCGCGTTTGATGGCCATAATATATTGACGTATTTGGCGAACTTGATGATCACAACTCTCCTCGGGCTGCACAAAAGTTTCTAAGCACTTTAGTACAAAACTTTGGAATCCATTATATTGAAACTGTATTTCACGTTATCAGTAAAATAAAGTAATTCCAAGTATTGAACAGATAGTTTAAAGAAAGGCACAGCTTATATTAGTTGTCTCAATTTCAGTGAAAATATATTTATTATGTAAATACATAAATTACTTATACATATAACATTTATTAATCTTTCATAGATTTAAACACTATAGGTCTAGCATACTTGATATGCTAATGAAAACGTGCACCTTTTTATTTTGTGTGCAAGAGGATTTAACACCTATCACACGAGATGGAGGATAGGATTTCAGTGTGAGGCTGGCAGACTGTCCTGGGTCGGGTTTAAACATCTCTTCAGATGTGGAGGACTTTTCATCCTAATGTCGTTAGCTGCTGTGGAATTGATTTTGACTCATGGCGACCCCACGTGTGCAGGGTAGAATTGCTCCATAGGGTTTTCAAGGCTGTGACGTTTTGGAAGCAGATCCTCAGGCCTGTCTTCTAAAGAGCCTCTGGGTGGATTCGAACTGCCAACCTTTCAGCTAGTAGTCGAGTATGTAACCCCGGTTTGAGCCCCCAGGGCCTCCTTCCCACCCTAACGGCCCTTAGGAAAGGTGAGAGAACCAGTGGGTTGTAGGAAGACAGAAGCATCCTCCTGTGCTTTGAGGGGGGCGGGGGGAAAGACTGGTCTTTAAAAATGTAAACAAGAAGCCCACTCAATAACGTTTTTACGTATCCGAGAAAGCCTTTGAGGAACTCTACTAACCATGCAAGTGAACTAAGAATTCAGTATTCTTTCACTTACTCAACAAAAAATCACTGAGTTCGCATCGTGAGCCAGGCAGGGTCCCAGGAGGAGAGAGTGAATAAGACAGAAGGGCTCTCCTCCCTCAGAGCTCACATCGCAGTGCGGAGGGAGAGGGGCAGGAGGACGACAATATCCTAATAAGGAGATTCCGCGTGGAATTGTACAAAGGGACGCTGTAACGGGCACGAGGGTGCAGGGAGGGAAAGCAGAGAGTGGGGCTTACTTGTCTGGGGGATGTCCCTCAGCAGCAAGGTGGGGGTCTCTGTGTCAGAGAGCTGTGAAGGGCAGCAGTGGCTGGGGGTCCTTAACATGACAGGGCTTATCTCGTCTAAGGCTAGCAGGTGTTGGGATGTGCAAAGCATGCAGGATCCAAATGGCTACAAATCTGCTTATTTGGGCTATGTGTGTTTTTTCCTTTTTACTGTATTTTTTAGAGTAGAGTTAAGTTTATGAAAAAAGTGTGCAGGAAATACTGAGAGTTCCCACATCTTGCCTCCTCTCCCTGCAGTTTTTGCTCTTAGCAACATCTTGCGTCACTGTGTACATTTCTTGCCATTGATGAACCGATGCTGATACATTGTTTTAACTAAAGTTTCTAGTTTACCTTTGGGTTCACTCTGTGTTGTACCAGTTGCCTTCCAGTTGATTCGGAGGCATAGCGCCCCCACGTGTACCAGAGTAGAACAGTGCTTCATAATATTTTCAATGGCTGATTTTTCAGCAGTAGATCTCCAGGCCTTTCTTCCGAGGCACCTCTGGGTAGACTCGAACCCCCAACCTTTCGGTTGGCAGCTGAGCACATTAACCATTTGCAAGACCCAGTCCTATGGGTTTTGACAAATGCGTGTCACGTGTTCATCATTGCAGCGGCAAACAGAATAGTGTCACTGCCCTGGAAGTGCCCTGGGCCCCATCTGCTCATCCCCTCCCCCCCATCCCCAAGCAACCACTGATCCTTTTTACTGTCTTGATAGCTTTGTCTATCTGGGCTATTTTTAAAGCAACTGGATGTGTAAACATTTGAGATGGCCACTGGTGGGCCCTTTGGACTAACAGGCCCCCATCTGCTGAGAACACATAAACAGCCTGGGCCAACACGCAGGGACATCTTCGGCTCCTTTACGTAACCGTATACATAAGCAGGAGTCCCTGGGTGGCGCAAATAGTAAAGCACTCGACTACGAGCTTAGAGGTTGGCGGTTCAAACCCACCCAAAGGCGCCTCAGAAGACAGGCCTGGCGATCTGCTTCCAAAAGGTCACAACCTTGAAAAGCCTATGGAGCAGTTCTCTGCACACATGGGGTCACCAAGAGTCAGAACCGACGTGATGACAGCTAACAACACCACCACGTATGAGCAGGGAGAGGGTGCAAAAAGGAGGCATGCACAGTCTGTGTCACCAAGAGTGTTCCAGGAAGTCCGTCCTTCTGCTTGTGGCCCCAGAACAGCCTACTTGCACCCGGAGAGGTCCCATCCTGAAGGGCCTTCGGCTCCTTCAGGGCTTTGCCTGGAGCCCCTTCTGAACAAGGGACACCCTCACTTCCCTCCCACACAGAGGTGCTCTGGCTCTGGGTGGCTGTGGCCCTGGTCCCCTGGCTAGAAGTGACACTCTGCCTTCAGACACCCCCTCTTGATTTTCGAGTGTAGCTGGATTTGAGAAACACTGGCAAGAGAATTTTTTTTTGGACAACCTCATATGTTCTACAACATATGTTCTGCCTCCAGGAAAGACAGTTACATTCTGCAGGAAAGAGGTGCTTCATGCATTAGAATAAAAAGCCTTGAATAATTTTGTTTTTAAATTCTCCTTTGAATACAGCATAATGTGCTTCTCCAGGGACTGACCCCTCCTGATAAAATGTCCAAAGTATGTGAGAAGTAGTCTTCTCCTTCGAAGGAGCATTCTGGCTGTACTTCTTCCAAGACAGATTTGTTCATTCTTTTGGCAGTCCATGGTCTATTTAAATTTTCTTCATCACACTGTAATTCAAATGCATCGATTCTTCTTCAGTCTTCCTTATTCATTTTCCAGCTTTCGCATACATCTGAGGTGATTGAAAACACCATGGTTTGGGTCAGTGGAAACTTAATCCTCAAAGTGACATCTTTATTTTTGTTTTTAACCTTTAAAGAGGCCTTTTGCAGCAGATTTGCTCAATGCAATGTGTCTTTTGATTTCTTGACTGCTGCTTCCATGGGTGTTGATTGTGGATCCAAGTATAATGAAATCCTTGACAACTTCAATCTTTTCTCCGTTTATCATGATGTTATTTACTGGTCCAGTTGTGAGGATTTTTGTTTTGTTTATGTTGAGGTGTAGTCCATACTGAAGGCTGTGGTCTTTGATCTTCATCAGTGAGTGCTTCAACCCTCTTCACTTTCAGCGAGCAAGATTGTGTCATCTGCATAACGCACGTTGTTAATGGGTCTTCCTGCAATCCTATTGCTGTGTTCATCATATAGTCCAGCTTCTCAGATTATTTGCTCAGCATACAGATTGAATAAGCATGGTGAAAGGATACAACCCTGACACACACTTTTCCTGATTTTAAACCACACAGTATCCCCTTGTTCTGTTCAAATGACTGCCTCTTGGTTTATGTACAGGTTCCTCATGAGCATGATTAAGTGTTCTGGAATTCACATTCTTCGAAACGTTACCTATTAAACTTGTTATGATCCACACAGTCAAATGCCTTTGCACAGTCAATAAAACACAGGTAAATACCTTTTTGGTATTCTCTGCTTTCAGCCAAGATACATATGACATCAGCAATGATATCCCTCATTCTATGTTCTCTTCTGAATCCGGCTTGAATTTCTGGCAGTTCCCTATTGATGTACTACTTTTGAATTATTTTCAACAAACTTTTACTTGTCTGTGATATTAATGATATTGTTCAATAACTTCTGCATTCTGTTGGATCACCCTTCTTTGTAAAGGGCACAAATACAGATCTCTTCCAGTTGGTTGGCCAGGTAGCTGTCTTTCAGATTTCTTGGCATAGATGAGTGAGCACGTCCAGGGCTGCATCCGTTTGTTGAAACATCTCAATCTGTATTCTGTCAATTCCTGGAGCCTTGTTTTTCACCAGTGCCTTCAGTGCAGCTTAGACTTCTTCCCTCAATACCATCAATACCAATGGTATTGACCACAGCTAGCTGACATAAAACTGCACACTATTTTCTACATTTTGGGTCTCAGAGCCTTCCTTTGTCACTCAAACTCAACACTCCTCTTCTTGCCATGGTGTTTGCGAGATCCTTGCAAAAAAAAAAAAAAGAAAAAAATGAAGCATAGTTGCAAAATATTCAGAGATTCACAAAGAGGCAGTGTTCGGAGATTCACAAAGAGGCAGTGTGTCTGCAAACAATTTTCAGGAGGAAAAATGAAGGTAATAGTAAACCTTTCAGTGGTGGTGGAATTTGACTTGATGTACAATTTTAATAAGACCAGATTTTCACCTAGAAGCTCAAGTAAGAGCAGAATTTTAATTTGCCCAGTGTTGGGTTAATCTTGGGTCTCCAATAGCATAGGCTTGGTGAAGAGCATTAGTGATACGGAAG